TTGTGTTGAGGGAGTACTTGAGTGGAGGCCCAATGTCCTTCTGCTACCTTAATACTAAACCTATAAATATGGGCACATAAATCTATTTCCCCATCCTTGTATAAATATATTTGCATATGTACATGTCTTTATCTTGAAAAAGGTCACAGTTTTAAGATTTTTTAAAAACTCATTAGTTTATGGAAACTAAATGGAATCAATGATTAGCCACTGGGAAGAGTAGTAAGAGGCTTTAAAAATGTATCCAAATTTGAAATCAGTTTTAATGTAATGCTTGAAGTTTTTAGGTTTCAGCTTTTGGGGGAAAGGGCCTTGTTGTGCTGCTGAGGGTTAAGCGCAGGGCCACTCACCTACCATTTGTTCCCGGGAGAAAGACGAGGTGGTCTGCTCCCAAGATTTATCCTCAAGGAGCAGCTTTATGCTCTCCGTTAGGGTTGCCAAGAGTCAAAACGTCTCGATGGTAGTGGGTTGGTTTTGGGTGGTTAGGTTTTTTGGAGTACTATTTTAAAAATTAGGAAAGATGTTCATGGGGCACGAAAGTGTGTCCGCAATCCCATATGCACATGTTGAATTATTAAATTCCAGGGTGAAATTTAGTGGTAAGAGTGAGTGAATGTACCCCTTTGCAGTGGGGACTAGAAAGTTAACGTGGGAGTTTTGTTTACTCTTTAGGAGTGCTTTTGCCCCCAAGTACTAGAAATAATTGCCTATTACAAAAAGGAAAACAATGACAGTATTTGTAACCTAGGACTTAGCGCGATACCTAGCACCTGGTCCCATAAACATTTCCTGCATGAGCACTCGAGGTCATAAACGTCCATTTGAGTCTAGTTGATTTTGTTATTGGGTGCTGTTAATCTATGTTCAAACCCAAACCAAACCAAGCTCACTCCCAGCAAGTTGATGTCGACTCATAGAGACCCTAGGATAGGGTAGAATTTTTTTAAAAAAATTTCTGAGACTAACTGTTTATGGAAGTACCATATTTTTCCTTCGGAGCGGCTGGTGGTTTTGAACTGCTTACCTGGTTGTTAACAGCCCAACTTGTAACCACTTTGCCACCAGGTCTCCTTAATTCTGATCCAGCAGCCCCATAAGACAGTAGAACCCCATAAGGTTTCCAAGACTTGTTTTTCCAGAAGCCGACTGCCTCTTATTCTCCTTTGGAGTGGCTAACTGGTGAGATTGAAGTGGTTGGTAGTGCAGAGTTTAACCACTACATCTCAAGGACTTCTTAAAATTCTTGTTAGGCACTTGCTATTTTGATACCTTTAAAACAACAATATTGATGTATAACTAGTTGCTTCCGATGTCAGTACTACTCTGGGAGTGTATTTCACTTCATCATGGGTGTTAGTTTAGATTTGCTGAAAAAGAGTCCAGAGCACCTCACTGTAATGGTGTACTGACTTTTAAGCTTATTTTAAAGCATACACACTTAAGACAGTATTATCTCAGTATCCTTCGGGGTCCTGTATGTTCCATTGAAACACCTACAGGCTCTTCAAAGAAATGATTCCCCCAGTAGTGAGACTTTACTGATAGAGAATATAAGGTGGGTTGTACCCTGTGTCATTTGAGGATACTTCTGTTGCGTTAGGTTTCTTGAATCATGATTTTCTTTAAAAATGACGATCTGGTCATCATCTGTAGGGGAAATGTAGAGAGGAGCTATTGTGACCCATCAAGAATTACAGTGTCTGGGAGATTGAGGATTTGGGAAGGCATTAATTGACGCTATCATGGTTAAAATGAAAGCTCTTAATCTGCAAAGGGGAAGAAAATGAAATTTCAGCCAGAGTGAAATGTAGGATTGGACTGTATACCAGCCTGCTACACAGATGATATTAGCTCTCCACTTGCTCGAACAAGCATCTTGGGACAAAATATGGAATATCTAACCCAAATTAGAAGTTTAATTTCCACTTCACTTGCCACCCCACAAAATAAAATAAGAAATAAACAGTTTTTCACTTGTGTGAGATTCCGGGTTGATTGTTAAGTAGCAAGTGTAAATTGAATGAAAGTATATGAGTGTAGGATTTTTTTTTTGAGTGTAAGATTTTTATGCGAGGCAGCTTCATATTTTTGTCTCTTATATTCTACAACATATCCTGCTGTTCAAGAGTGCCCTTGAGCTAATGATACCTGATGCCAGAGCACTAATAAAGGCTTAAAACTGTTAGGGAAAAGTGATAGTTTGGTTATGTTGTAAATTAAGGCTTTTAAGTGAAAGTGGCTAGGTTTTACAGATGGGCAGGCACGAAGCTAGCCGGGTCAATTTGTTTTGCTGTGATGGAGATACTGTTCAAGTCTGCATGTGTCTGTCGAGTGTCCGTGGTGGCACAGTGCGATGAAGTGATCAGCGAGGCATCTCTAGTGGGTTCCTGTTGCCAGCCATACTGTAACGCACAGTACACCCTTTGTGCAGATGGCGTGTGGGCTGCATGCCACCTCAGCCTTGGCAAGATGCCAGGAAACATCAAGGTGAATTTTTAAAGCCTTTAAAAATATTTAGACTCCTGACTAATCTCGGTGAACTCACTACTGTAGCTAATACACTACTTGCTGGAAGTGAGGTGAAATTTGAAGTTTTGCATGGCTCCCCTCATGCGTCAAGTGACCTTGGATTGACAAATTGTTCATCTCTCTGGCTGTTTTCTTTATCAGGACAATGAGGATTTTTTTTTTTTTTTGACAATGAGGATTGCAAAGGTATTTGTCTTGTAAGGTGTTTGTGCGGATGTAGCCAGTTAATATGTGTAAAGTGGGTGTCTGGCACTTAATAAATGTTAGTCACCACCATCAGCAGCAGTATAATTTGGGGTGAGATGAATTCCTCTCCCCTGAAGCTAGATTGTCTTTTTAAGAAAGGCTACATTCCATTCAGGGATCTGATCAGCCCCAACTCTAAAACATAGATGCAGATCACCCTGACTTATAAAATAATGTATAGTCTCTAAAAGGAATGAAAGCAACACACATCTTTCTGGGGTGATTTACGAAATGTATTTTAAGAGAAGGAAGCAAGAGGCAAAAATGTGTGAATGATTCCATCATCTGTCTTAAGAATGTGCTGGGATCTGGACGTGAGTACCCGGAGGCTGCGTCAGAAACAAGTCCTTTTCATCTGTTGCTGTGGGGAGGGCATTGAGTGGCTGGAGAGAGGATGGGAGGATTTGCTGCAGTGCGCATGGTCAGCAGTTCAAGACGCCTCTGCTCCCATCAACAGTTAGTCTCAGAAACCCACAGGGGTCACTCTGAGGCAGCATTGACTCAATGACATGGAAGTTTTTTCTTTTTTAAAATACTTTTTGATTGTTGAGCCATGTGAGTGCATTTCATACTTAATTTTAAAAAGTAAAGTAAGCGGTGATTTGGAATCTAGAGAAGATTTTATACTTTATAAACAGTTTTTCTTTTTTTCTGTGTCACTTAAATTCATATTTGATTGGGCTCTACTACTCCTCTTTTCTTTCTGCTTTAGGGTTCTGTTTTCTCTCCTTTAGTGTGTTTCAACACCAAACTAAGAATGTTGTTTTGCCCTTTCTTAGGGATTTGAGTCATAACCGGTTGACTACCTGGAATATCAGCTTGGAATTGCAGACGTTGCATGAAGTGTAAGTTACTTTCACGGAATTTAAGGCTGTGTTACATTTCTTGAGGTGATCGAATGAATGGTGAAATTTAGATACTCAGTCAAGAAATAGAAGGAAGATAATGTGACAGATTGTTTAAATACCCAAGCAGTGGTCTTTCACTTTGTTATCACCACCACTTCTCCGGGCAGTGTGCCACTGGGTGGTTGGTTGTGAGTTGTAAGTTGTATTTCTTGAGACCAAAGAAGGATTTCTTCTCCATTCAGAATAAATATGCCTCTTTTTTTGGCCAGAATTTCAACCAGTGAAGCATTCTATTGTGTAAACTTTCTTTTGTCTTCCAACATGTTACCTGATATTAAATCTTCATGTCTAAAGTAGGTTTATATGAAATCTGTACAGTAGTTTTGGTATCATTTGGGATAATTCAGTTTTCAGTTAACTGAAGCTTTCCCTTTAAAATATTGGTATGTATATTTGGAAGTAATTTTCTAAAACATTATTAATATCAGTTACTGCGTTGTGATTTTTCTGGGACAGAAAATTAAAGTTGTATTGGACTGTTTGATTTTATGTTAAATACTTCCAGAATGCCCAGACTTAGTTATCTTTTAAATTAATTGCTGACAAAGTTACTGTCATGGTCCCTGCATTCCCAGCGCCTCCCATTGACCCTGGACAGAGTAAACATGTGATACATTTATTAGCTGGAACACCAGGCACCGATGAAAGCATGGAATAAATGGTTCAGGTTTAATCGGTGGACTTTGTGACTTGGGTTGGTCTCTTGGAGGCCTTTGCTTTCTGAAGCTTCTGTGATTGAATGCAGGTTAATGAGATGGGATTGTATTCGATTTCTACCAACACATTGTAGACAATCTAGGACCAGATGGTGATGTTGGATATTTATCATTTATCCCATCTTTAAGGAGAACCCAAATTTGTTGTTTTAAACAGAACTATTTAACGGTACTTACTGAGATTTAAAATACCTAATGTGTAAAAGGTTTTCTATTTCATTAAAACCTCTAGTTTCTCAGTATAATACATTTTTTATCTTTGTCTAACTCATTCTGAGACATAAATGGTTTCAAATTTGGCACCTGCCCTAGATATGTATTAGCTAGAAACCAGAATTCAGGAGGTAAGCATTTCCCTCACCGAACTCTTAAATCTCTTTCCTCCCACCTAGGAAAATGAATTACAATGAGTTAACAGAAATGCCATATTTTGGAGAATCAACTTCTAATATTACTCTACTCTCATTGTAAGTAAATATGATTTGGTGTGTTTTATTTAAATTAAGAATAGTATTCTGTGTTGTTGGTTTTTTTAGTCAAAGTACATATAATGTTCTAAATCACTTTACATGTTTGGGGTGGATGCTGGTTGTAAATTTTATATAATCTTTATTTTCTAGAGTACATAACATGATCTCAGAAATAAATGCAGAAGTGCTCCAGTTCTACCCTGCTCTTGAGAGTTTAGACCTTAGCTCAAATATAATATCAGAAATCAAGACATCTTCATTTCCTCGCATGCCGCTTAAATACCTGTAAGTAAAATAGAATTGAACCTAGGTACTTGTAATGTCTCATTATTCGCCATTAAGAGATGCCTTCCCATAAAAGTCTGTCATTTATTGTGATTTTAATATGTATATCTAGAGTAAACCTAAGGGCAGTTTCTTGGGATTTTGTTTCCTTATTTAATTCAAAGAGTACATTATTTTCATAAGATAGTGAAAGATACTCAGGGTGATAATTAGCATATGTGTTTTATACTTTATAAAATATAGTAATACATACTGTTCCACAGCTATCTAAATGAAGTTCCTGTATATTTGCATAATAATGTACCCACATAAATAACATGCTCACTTATGGAACATGCACTGTAAACTAGCTTCGTGGTTTGCTAAAGCTGCATAACACTATTTGGGTGGAAAAATGTAAGCATCCTTATTTTGTAGGGGACGAAACAAAATGGTCAGTTTGTGAAGCTATATATAAATTGGTGACGAGTAGCACAGAAACTTAGTTGTGGGCTTTGGATCGTATTCCAGTGGTAGAAATTTTCTTACAAAACCTCCTTGTGCTCATTTTAGGAATTTGAGTAATAATAGGATAACCACTTTGGAGGCTGGCTGCTTTGATAATTTATCAAGTTCCTTATTAGTGGTAAAGTTAAACCGGAACCGAATTAGCATGATTCCACCTAAGATCTTCAAGCTGCCTCACCTTCAATTCTTGTGAGTAGTGTAATAGGAAACATTTTAAGAAAATCAGTTTTCTTATAGTGTCTTTTCTTTGTAATTGTGCAAATCAACAAACCAATGTGGTGACTGTAAAACTATTTTTGTTAAAGGGAACTTAAAAGAAATAGAATTAAAGTTGTGGAAGGTCTGACATTCCAAGGACTTGACACCTTAAGATCTTTGAAAATGCAGCGGAATGGAATTAGCAAGCTTAAGGATGGAGCTTTCTTTGGTTTGGATAACATGGAAGAGCTGTAAGTACTAGAACTAGAGGTAGGCATTATTAGGAAAGGAGTCAGTCCGATACATTCCAGTTCCAAACAACTAATGTAGTTATTACTTTAATTACACAAAGGTACGTTAGCTCATTCTTCATCTTCTGAGGTGAAATTACACAAAAAGCCTTTTAACTTATACTAACTTTTGTGTGACCCAGGGGGCATATATACCTACATTTTCCAACTCTGGGGTTCAGTGGGAAGTTGATCCCACCTTTTGGTGTGTGCTGCCATCTTCTGGGGGCCTATATAGCTATGTGAATATGAGGAAACGGGCCTCATTTCACCAACTCTACCACGAGAGATCCCTTAGGACAGATGTGTCCCACTAGTTGTACCAACTTCCATATTATCTCAAAAAATATATATTTTTCATTTTATTTGAAATGCCATTGGTTACTGAACACACAGGGTTTCAACAAAACTTAAAAGCAGAAAATAATTTGGTCTTTGAAAAGGTTAGCAAAGTATTCTGCCATTTTTACAAATATCTTATCAAAAATGTTTGCATTCTTTAATGTTTTGGCTGATTGCGATACTTGGAGTTTATCCCAGACCAGGTATGCTGTATATTTTAGCATCTGACTCTTCAGATCTGATATTTTAGATAGGTTTGCTACCGTCCAGCCTTAACTAAACTTTAAGTAAAGTTTAAATAGTTATGGGATAGGATTTGTCAGCTCACTTAAGTTGAACAAAGTACTTGCCTCACCATGCATGACATAATGGAGATTTAAGGACTACACTTTTATTGACGGGCCTTGTTTTAAAATATATTTTTTACTCTCTATAATTCTGCAGAGAACTGGAGCATAACAACCTTACAGAAGTGAACAAGGGGTGGTTGTATGGCTTGCGAATGTTACAGCACCTCTATCTGAGCCAGAATGCTATTGAAAGAATCAGCTCAGATGCATGGGAGTTCTGCCAAAGACTATCTGAACTGTAAGTGTTGGATTGAATTTTAGTGGAGGATGTGGGACTAGAGCAGGTTGGAATTAATTCATCCCTGTGACCAGTAATGAAAGTTAAATGCTATCCCTGTTTAACTAGAGGTTTGTTGAAGCTATGAATTTGCCCTATAAATGGACTAAGAATTTGAAAGTTGAATCAATATACAATGTATTTCCTCTTTTCCATGTTTTCCATTTTCAGTGATCTGTCCTATAACCAGTTGACTCGCCTGGATGAATCTGCATTTGTGGGTCTGAATTTACTGGAGACGTTGAATTTAGGGGACAACAGGGTCACTCACATTGCTGATGGTGTATTTAGGTTTCTTTCTAATCTTCAGACATTGTAAGTACATTTACCTAACATCCTCCTCTGCTGCTGCCAATCATTTAAAACTAATAAAGCAAATTAATTTAATGATCAATCTTCAAATTATATATGTTTAGTATTTTGTGGATATGCTGTCTTATACCTTGGAACATGATAATATTAATTATTTGTCTCTTTCCCTATAAATAAATCTTACTTCACTCTAACCTGTGGGACCATTTGACTTCAGCACATAGCAAGCCCATGTGTGTCAGGGTAGACCCGTACTCCACAGCGTTTTCAGAGATTGATTTTTTTCCAAAGTAGATTGCCAGATCTGCCTTTTGAAGTGTTGCTGTGTGGACTTAAACAGCCAACTTGGTTAACAGCCAAGCTTGTTACCTGTATGCATGACCCAGAGCCCATAATGGAGTGCTTCAATGTTGAAATAATAAACTGAACACATCTCTTACTGTGCTGAGTGCTGTAGGGTATAACACAGTTGCTGGTATTAAGCATGTGGTCATTTTCTTGTTCCTCTGACCTTGACCGCATACCACAGCTAGTTTTCATTCAGAAGGATATAGGATGTGTAAGGGGAACAGCTCTGGCAGGCCACCTGTTCACTGTTATAGTTTACTGTATGACTTTGGACAGAAGGAAACTGACATTTATGAATTATTTCATAGGTGGTAAGTGCCTTCAGAGACTTTGATATTAGAACTTTAGCACTCTTTTCCCTATTAGGAGGCAGGGGTTTCCAGAGATTAAAATGATCAAGGTCCCCTTGCTTGTTGTAACTGGGTGAGCCAGGTTTAGAACCGAGTGGTGTTGATACAACCCCACTGGATGAGCAAAGTGAGCAAGATGTCATTTTGTTTGTTGCTTGTTGCTTTGTGTTGCTTTTTTGGTGAAATAAAGGAAGGACATGGAATTCGATGTTTGCTGAATACCACGCTAATTGTAAAAGTCTTTGGATACTAAACGCTGAATGTTCTACACTGATACATGGGATATAATTTTATCAAATGAAGAGACATGAGGGTACTTCAAAGGCTCCTCATGGGAATTAAAAGATAATGGAATTTTTAAATGAACTTTTTGAAACCCCTTGTATTTTAATGAAATATAAGTCTCAAACATGGGGCATAATAAGAGAACACAGAGTAGAATTTACAGACTCCTAAAGACCCTGAATTGGGAACTTTGTGGTGATTAGACTCAGAGCTGAGAAATGGGACTTCTCAGAAAAGAAGCAGGCTTCCAACTTTGTGATAATTTTGTGACAGTGTATATAAATGCACGAGTATGTGTTTGATTTTTTTTTTCTTTTGAGCTTTGCTGGGTAATCTTTTTTTAGATTTGGCCATGAAAAATTAAAAATTATTTTCTACATTACCAAAGTTGAAACTAAATTGCTGCACCCTGGGAAATCGTTGGCAACTCTGAGTCTAGCAAACAGGCCTGTGGGTAGTAATGAACCAAGCTAGGTTCTTTCTGTATATTGCAGATTATTTAGTATTAAACTTAGAAAATTAACTATACAAATAAGCAAACATGTAATGCCAACAGCAAGAGTTAAGGCAGCTTTAGCATCAGATCTTAGTAATTCTGACTTCAGGCCAATGTTCTTGTCAGAGTAGTGACTAAATCTCTTACTCAGCTTGGGAAATGAATTCTGTTTCTGATCTGTGTGGTGGAGGGATAAGTCCTAAAGAGTTGAGCCACCAGTATCAATGTTTACTCCTGTTGAATTAAAATGTTGTTACTTTTCCACTTCAGTTAAAGGCATCTAAGAAGAATGTTTTTCTGTTTCCTTACTGTTAATCACATAAATTTTCCTACCTTTATATGTAAATGTAAAGTAGTGTATTATAAACCCAAGAGCTTTGTGCTTTATTTTATTATGAGAAGGCGGAGGGAAACAAAGTGATTGTTTTTAGTTGGCATTTCAACTAAAAATCAGCACATGGTATAGTCCAACTACATTTTCTCTGAGGATGCAACATGTATTAGAAAAGATCCATACTTTGCCTTTTAAAGGAAACAGTAATCGCTTTAGCACATGAATTTATCATTCTGTGTCCCAGGGGGCATGTTTAATTGCCTTGGAGCTGCGAAGTTCTGTATTGATAGTACCTTTTGTCAGCTATTTTACGAACCCCAGGGGATGGCTTTGGTTCCCCCAAAATCCCCTTAGTCTGATGACAGATTTGTAAGCTGCATCTTGAAATTCTCCTGCCTCTTGTAGAACCCCACCTGTAAATTTTAAATATACTAGCACAATTCAGAGCTGTTAGCTAAGATCAATCGTCTTAGCCCAAACAGAAAAGAACCACAACAACAACACAACCAGAGCCACTGCTGATGAATCAGTTTTGACTTACAGTGACCCTAAATCTTAGCAGGCTGCTAAATTCATTTACCAAGGCAAGCTTAATTCTGGAATCTCTTAGCTTATGAGAATCAGTTCTTAGATGATTCTCTTTTACGAGGTCAGCTATTCCTTAAAAATCAGAATTAGGTCTCCATCCTAAATAGATGTTTGATGAGTAACATAACTCTTAGAAGAAGGACCGCTGTGAGCATTTGGACTTTGACATAGCCATGCCTGATGGAGGAGGGTGTGTAGGCCTTGGTGACTGACATCTTTTCTTCCCCCGACATGTTTACAGAGACTTAAGAAACAATGAAATTTCATGGGCCATAGAAGATGCTAGTGAAGCCTTTGCTGGACTCACGAGCCTCACTAAATTGTATGTATTGTGTGTGTGTGTGTGTGTGTGTATGAAGGGGTATTTTTTTAGATCAGTAGTAAATATGATTAGATTATGTCTGTTAGGTGTGGCCCAAACGTCTGAGCCTTCAGACCCCTTTACTTAAAGGAAGAAACGTTGTTGTTGACCAAGTTGGGCTTTGGGGGAGAGATAGTTGCAGGGGAATGTCTTTCCATTGATGGAAAATTCCGAAGTTATTTATAGACTAGAACATCTACCTAAGTAAAATAAGTGCACTGAGGAGCTAGGGTTGACCTGTTATTCTAATTAGGTGAGGTTTATGGGTAATTTGTCTCGCAGGAGAGGATTCATTCAGATAAGATTTTAGATCACCCTTGAGAAGACTTTCTTTAGGGGCGCACAGGGGTTCTGGGTTTCCTTTGGCCTGTGAGCTTTTGCTAGGGGGGAGAAACTGGACGGGGCCCTCAGTTGGCCAGAGAGAACTCTAGTTTCTCTGCAGCAGCCCATGGTGGTTGCTGCTCAGAGCCCCGCGTGGTGCCCCCCACATCGGATTAGGAGCCTTCCCTTTACGCTTGGTGTTGGTTAAGAATAAGGGTTTGTACCTTTTTAAAAATGCACGCTAAGATTATTTTCACCTTTTACAGGTAAATGTTTAATTTAATGAATTTAATTTTGTTTACTGTAGAGCTTTAGTAGAAAGGCTTGTTTGTATTTCAGAATCCTACAGGGAAACCAGATTAAGTCAATTACAAAGAAAGCATTCATTGGTCTGGGATCCCTGGAACATCTGTAAGTATTTTGCATACATTTTGCTCCCTATATAATTACTCTTTGCTATTAGCAGAGGGTTTTGTGACCACTTTAAAGTGTTCATAGAACTTAATTGTAGAAATGGTTACAATGTTTCATTTTTCTTCCTTTCAGAGATTTAAACAACAATGCTATAATGTCTATCCAGGAGAATGCTTTTTCTCAGACTCACTTGAAAGAACTGTAAGTAACTTGTCTTTTTTTTTCTTCTGCCAATTAGATCATTATCCATGCTTGTTGTACTTAAAATATAAGCGTGACACACGTGCTTTTAAAAAAAATATGTAGTTCAGGCAAGTAACAAGAAAGCGTGAATACAGTTTGTGGCTGGCTGAACTTTAAAAATAACCCAACATTTGAAAAGCTAAAAGGGTGATTCTGGTACCTTGCATTTGCCTGTGTGGCCTTGGCAGTGCTTCTGTGCTTTGTTTGTACCCTGTGTATACCTTGTGACAGGCCGTCACCACCAGCTGCACTATAAAAGGTGAAACCCCATCCCTGTCACTAACTGGATGGCAAGACTTGGCATGAATTCAATTCCCAGCAGGAAATGGATCCAGAACCCACCTTCCCATATTGCCATACCTTGTCAGCAGCCACTTTTGTGACTTTGAGCCCTTTGGGACCGGACTGTAAGTGAGAAGGACTCTGTTCTTTTTCATCTACTACCCGTGCAGTCTTTCCATATCGTCCAGCCATCCACAGCTGGGTCTATACTAACGCACCTGTACTGTCAGCCCTGCTTGCTCCCTGTCCCTGTGGGTTGGTTAATTAATTCCCTGCAATAGCTCAGGAAATTCATGGAGACTGTGGCCTGCATGTCTAGTTACACATTTATTATAACCAGAAGAGGATATGAGCTAGAAGCTGTATCAGACAAGGTCTGGGAGAGTTCTTGGCATGGGGCCTCTATTATCTCTAGGGATGTGCTGCTTCCTCTTCAGTGGATGGGTGTTTTCATTAATCCCGGAAAGCTCTTAAAAGAGCTTCTAGGTCCAGAATCCCTAGTCACTGGGAACTCGGTGAATATGCATGAATAGTATGTCAATGCATTATTATGATTGACCCAATCAATGAATATGTATGACTGCACCATGCCCCCTCCCTTCCTGCAGTTAGTTCAGGGAAGAGACCTGTGAGACCAGGGTAGTCTCTACTTGCCTGACTGACAGGAAGACAAAGGAGCACCGTAAATTCTCAGGTTGAAAAAAAAAAAAAAAATTCTCAGGTTGTTTTCTGTAACCAGATACGCAAGGCCAAATCTAATTGTTTTCCTATATCCTACTGTTCTTTTATTTTTCTTCTTTTCTTTTTTGGACGGTTAGAAACATAGGTTTCACAAACCTCACTCTTGGTGGGTTAGAATTCAGATACATGATTGTATTCTTTCATTTCTGTGATGACCAGGTACTTGTAGTATAATGGTTAGAGATGATGTCATTAGTCTCTTAGTTAAGCTATTGAAATGTTCAAGAATTATTGAATAGTTGTATTGGTTTGCAACAATATGGAAAATATTTTAATTGGGCCTTTATCACAGTTAGTGTGAGAGGCACTGGAAAAGCTGAAGTTCAAACTGCCTGGATTCAAAGTCTTGCTTCATTCCATATGATTGTGTGGCTTTGGATGGATTTTTTAAGCTGAGACTCAGTTTCCCTTCTCAAATGGAGCATAACACAAAGTGATGTGAAGATAAAATGAGATAATTTAGGTATTGACTATCATGTGCAGCACATTGTAGATGCTGAAAACGCCTTAGATAGCAGTGAATAAGACCATCTCTGTCCTCCAAGTGTGCTACAGTCAAGTCTCATCAGGAAGATAAATAATGAACCAGTAGATAATGTACTGGCCCTTCAGGCAGTAGGTTTTCTGGGTTGACATAAGGCTGGGTCAAAGGTGTGGAAAGTGACGGATGCTGTCACTTTCAGGATGTAGTGACTACAAATGAGGGCCTTCCAGGTAGAGGAGAGCAAATGAAAGGCTGCTGGGGCAGGAGCTTGTGTGTGCATAAGAAACAGGAAAGACACAGGGATGACCACCCAGGAACGAGGGGAAGAGCAGGTGCAGAGAGAGGCCGGAGGTAAGCTGGAGCCGGATCAGGTGGGGAGGGCGTGCTTCCTAGGTCACGAGGAGCTCGGATCGCTTCCTCCCAAAACACTTGAGGAAACCTTGGAGGGTTTTGAGAACAGGAACATCAGCAAGTACTGGCTCTTAGTAAAAGCTGAATGACTGGTATTCGTAACAAGAATACAAATGTGATGAAAATCATTAGTTCAGTTTCTGCCAGATTTTAAAAGTGGCTTTGTTTTGGTCTGTTGGAAAACTTTGAGTTACTTCTGCTAGGCTTTTTTCATTCGTGTAAGGACACAGTTTACAGGAAAACAGCATTCCCTTTTGGTGCCAGTGATAATCCTAGGGCCAGCAAGAATCAGAATGTGTTCTAACTATCGTTAGAAGAATTCCGTTTTAAAGTATAATCTAGCAAGTAGGTGAAAGCAAATTATTATAGTTGCATGTTTCAGAGAATAATTTAGTAATCAGCTCTCAACACAGGCACTCTAGTGAAATATTTATTAAAAACTTTTGGTTGCTTTTGGTTATATTTTAAATCTAAGTGATCTTTGTAATATTTAGGCCAATATTTATTAAAACCTCTCTTTATACTTCTTGGTATCCCTCACAGTACTTTGAATAAATATTGGGTACTGGTGGTGGTAGAGTTATGTATAATTTAAAAAATATTTTACATAGAAAATTATACAATCATTGTAAAAATACTAGAAAGAACGGTTAAAAGCAGGTATGAATGTGGGGGGAACCTCAAATCCCAAAGACTCAGGAGATAATCACTATCAGTGTTTTGATATCTAGTCATACATTGGTTGAAAGATAGTCTGTTAGACACTTATGTAATGTTGGGTAGTGTGTGAAGGATGGGGAGACACCAAGAAATACGTGTGGAGGGATTAACATGAGTTGCTTATGATCAGGCCCTGTGGTAAACATTTTATTTAAACTTTTTTGACCCCTGTTTTGAGGTAGGCATGCTTTAATTCTGTATTCAGAAGTGGAAACAGGTTTTGGGCACATTCAGTGTCTTGCCTAAGCAGTAAAGTTAGGACGTGAATCAAGGGCTCTTCTCTGACTAGCTTCTCTCTGAGAAAGCACTAAGCAGACCATGCCATTCCTCCATTCACCTTCCATTCACCTCCCAGCACTGGGGGAGCCTGAAGCTGCGTTCTTTCTCTCTAGTTTATCAGCTGCCTGCATGGCCCGGTGCTCCCCAGCCTCATTGCTGCCCCTGTGTCTCCTTGCTCCCAGAACGGTTTGCCTCGCTGACCCCCTTGCTTTACCTCCAGCACACTGCCTGTCTGCCCTGGACCTGACTGCTGCGGTACCTCCACCTGGGGCACGCTTACCTCAGGGCCTTCACCTGATTCGCTCTCTTGATTTCTTGAGAGAGACTTACCTTGACCACTTTATCTAAACTAGCAGCTGCCTTTGCCAGCACTGTTTTTCTTCAACGTGCTTGCTGCTTTCTGGCACTGTTTTATACCTACGTATTTCTTGCATGACACTTAATATGTAAGCTCCTTGATGGCTGTGTTTCCATAGCCTCAAACAGCCCCTGGTATATAGTAGGGTCCTCAATATTGCTTTATGAGTGAGGAAAAGTAACCAGAATTTTTTTCTTTTTTTTTTATATATCATTTTATTAGGGGCTCATACAACTCTTATCACAATCCATACATACATCAATTGTGTAAAGCACATCGGTACATGCATTGCCCTCGTCATTCTCAAAACATTTGCTCTCCACCTAAGCTGCTGGCACAATCAGCTCCTCATTTTTCTCCTCCCTCCCTGCTCCCCCCTCCCTCATGAACCCTTGATAATTTATAAATTATTATTTTGTCATATCTTGCCCTGTCCGACGTCTCCCTTCATCCACTTTTCTGTTGTCCGTCCCCCAGGGAGGAGGCTATATATAGATCCTTGTAATCGATTCCCCCTTTTCAAACCACCTTCCCCTCCACCCTCCCAGTATCGCCACTCACACTGCTGGTCCTGAAGGGATCATCCGCCCTGGACTCCCTGTATAACCAGAATTTTTAAATGTAAAAGGCAACTTCTGGCATTTTGAATTTAAGTTACTTTAAACCTGGCTTTTCAGGAACCCTTAAAGACTATTGAAGAATACATTGAAGTCAAATCATATGCTTTATACCAAACTTTAAACTTGATGCAGATTTTGATGATATCTACAAAGCAAGCCATAATGTTCTCTAAGTCACTTGCTCTTCCTGTTTGCAAGTGGATGGAGCAGTTTGTGAGGCATGAAGAGCCTGCATCATTTTCTTGATATCTTCACCCCAGTGCTTTCCGCTGCTTCTTAATTTAAGTAGCAGTGTGTGTGCCATAGTCTTGGTGAAATAATTAGAAAATAACTGGATCTTCTTCACAATAGAGTTATCTAAACACTTTGATACATATATATCTGTCCCCCCCTACCCCCCGACTTTTTTGTAAAGGTACAGTTAGCATCCATATACTCTTTATGTAGATTCACCAATGGTTAAGACTTTGCCAAATGTGTTACCTATTTTCCACTTCCCGTTCATCCTTCCATCCTTCCCTCCTCTTCTCTCTCTCTACATACAAGGGAGCTTCAAAACGTTCTTGGAAAAACCCTCGTTTTCATGAACTTTTGAAACCCTCTCATGTATGTAAATATAAGTGCTTCCTATTTCTGGCTGAGCCATCTGAGGTGAGTTGCAGACAGCATGACATTTTATTACTAGACACGTGAAGCTGTTTTTATTACGAAGGGGGACGTTTGCCTATAGAGCTTCAGCACCATTATCACACCCAAGGAAATTAACCATGGTAACAGAATATTACCTGACACGCAGCCCGAGTCCAAATGCTCCCTGTGGCGACAAATGCCCTCCACGTCTGCCTCGACTCCACCCCCAGCCTAGGGGCCTGCCTCTGACTCTCAGTCCGTTTAGTCCCAAACAGGAGTCTTTCCCGTCTCCTCCCTTCTAGTGCCTTTCATCACCCAGTGTCTCTGAAGAATTGAAACTGGTAATGACTTTCTTTCTCATGGTCAGCCCCAGATTAAATGCTTTGGGCAAGAACAGTGTGCAGGTGCACACAGGTTGGAATGCTGACAACAATTGGAATGAGATGTAACACCAGAGGCACTTCTTTTCGTCTTGTTCCTGCAGGATTCTGAACACGAGCAGTTTGCTGTGTGACTGCCATTTGAGGTGGTTGCTCCGCTGGCTGGTGGACAGCGACGTCCAGCGCTCTGGGAATGTGAGCTGTGCGCACCCTGAGTGGCTAGCGGGGCAGAGCGTCCTGCGTGTGGACCTGCAAGACTTTGTCTGTGGTCGGTATCTTTGTTTAAAAGTTCATACAGGACGCTATAGCAGAATTGACAAAAATTAAATCGAGTACTTCTTCCCTCGCATGTCTAGGTCCATGTCTGACATCTTCTCCAGCTTATGTATCAGTGCATCGGCATCAGCATTTTTAGACAGGAGTGAGCAGGATTTAATTTCATATGCGACTCTTTGACTTAAAATGGCAGCAGTAACATTCCTGAAAGGGGCCTTGGTGGCAGAGTGAGTTATGAATTGGGCTGTTACTGCAAGGCCAGCAGTTTGAAACCAGCAGGCATTCCACGAGAGAGCGTGTACAGGGTTTCTACCCTTGTAAAGAGTCTCTGAAACCCACAGGGACAGTTCTACTCTGTCCTCTAGGGTCACCCTGAATCAACTGACTCCCTGGCTTGTTTGTTTGCTTTGGAAGATTCCAGAGTAAAAGATTGGAATTTTTTTTAATGTGAGTATTTTTAATAGATCTTGAAAAACGCTGCCAGATGTTTTCCAAAAAGATAGCACCAATTTCCTGTACATTTAAATTTCCTTTAAGTGGAATACCGAGTTCCTAGCTTGACATTTGTGCACATTGTGTGTGTTCTCTAGTAGCTCTGTCACTTGGCTGCCTGTCAGTTGTCAGATCCGCTTCCAGTCTACTTGAAGATGCATAGGCCCACAGCATACTTGTTATGCTATTTTTGTAAATTTTAAAGATGGAAACGTATAATCTAATAAAGATTGAGTACAGTGTGCATGGCTGTGAGTTCCTTTTTGACTTGGCTTACTTTTAAATATGAGCATGCTGTATCTCTCCCACCACCCTCTTTCCAGTCATCACTTGTGTGGCACAGTGAAAGGTTAGCCAGTGTCAGTGTTCGGTAAGGATTCACCTATCCCCTTCTTTGAATCAGTTCAATGACATACCCTGGTGGTGTAGTGGTTATATGTTGGATTGCTAACATCAGGGTCAGAAGTTCAAAACCACTTGCAGTTCCTTGGGAGAAAAACAGAGCTTTCTACTACTGTAAAGAGTTACAGTCTCAGAAACCCACAGGGGCAGTTCTACCCTGTCATGTAGGATTGCTACAAGTCAGAATCAACTTGAAGGTAATGAGTATAGTTTTATTAGCACATTATAAGACAGTTGAACATCTAACATGCTTGGAAATTTCTCTCTAATTTAGGTGAAAGCTTCACACATACAAAGTACTTCCAAATCACTTGTTTTAGTAATGATAAGTATTGCTTGGGAAATACAACAAGTTCTTAATGCCTGCTTTCTATACTGTCAAGCAAAACGCAATAATGGTTATCGTGTGCATGTTTATCTCTGTATCATACCCAAACATGCAATGAATTAAGATTAGAGCTTATCTCAACATTCTTGTATAGGATTTCCCTGTTTCCCCCAGGAACTGATAATGGCTAAGAAGTACACTAAGCCTACAAGTAGCAGGAGGGGTGGCGGGAAGAGCTGGACCCTGAATGCAGGACCCTGGGCTCCATGGAGGCCCAGCCACTGACTTGTCTCTGAGCAAGTCACTCGACCCTCCAGGGACTCATTGTCCTCATCTTCCAAGAAGGGAATTGGACTCTAGCTCCATAGTCCTAGCCACCTGTGAACAGACTGGACAATTATACAGTATTTGTTTTTAAATGGAGTCTTGTAAAGCAAAAAGTGCACAGTTGGCTTGACCACTGCTGGACTTTGTTTCCGCAGATGAGTTTCTGAAGCCCCAGATGAAGACCCATCCCGAGAGCACGATTGCCCTGAGAGGCACCAACGTGACCCTGACCTGCACGGCAGTGAGCAGCAGCGGCTCCCTGATGTCTGCCACGTGGCGCAGAGACAGTGACGTCCTGCATGACGTGGACATCGAGAACTTCGTTCGTTACCAGCAGCAAGCTGGAGAAGCTCTGCAGTACACAAGTGTCTTACGTCTTTTCAACGTGAACTTCACGGATGAAGGAAAATATCAGTGCATTGCCACTAATCATTTTGGTTCCAATTATTCCCTGAAAGCCAAACTGACGGTGAACGGTAAGGAGTTATGCGTCCTGAAGGAAGTTGAGAAGGAAGGTTCATGGTCTGTTTCTGAATGACACGATCGAGAAAATCAGGCCACATTCGACACGTCGTGGGGAGAGGGGATTTGACTTTGTGTTTTAGGGTTGTGACAAGTGCACCGAGTGGGTGGGTTCTTTGCATTCACCCAGCGCTTCTCAACTGGTGGGTCGCGACCCCTTCAGGGGTCAAACGCCCTTTCACAGGGGTCGCCCGATTCATAACAGTAGCAAAATGATAGTTATGAAGTAGCAACGAAAATAGGAGGAAGTGTATTAAAGGGTGGCGGCATTAGGAAGGTTGAGAATCACTGCCTTAGCCAGACTGCCCACCAGATTGCCCCGGGTGAGTCCCAAGGCTGTGGGAGATGGACTACTTTTACTGCTATTTGTGTTTAGGAAAAAATTCTCTTGAGAGTCTCCATTTTCTGTCCAGAGCCTTAATTCTGTTCTGAAACTAGGAACTGGGTTCTTGGCCCTGTCCACAGGGCCTTCCCGTGGCTGGGAGTATGGAGGAGGTTGCTGGTTACAGGCAGGCATCACGATTGCTGTCTCCATGCGGTCTTCCAGAGTCTGTTTGATCGTCCACACCAGATGAGACAATGTCCCAGCACCGTGTGGTTCCTCTGTTGCCCATCCGGTTGCAGAACAACGGCATTCTCTCGCTTCTGAGAAAGGCCGGGCGCAAACCAGAGGTGGGCCTTCTGTGAAGACCACCTTCTCAGACAAGGCGTTTAGAAAGGGCTGTGGCCTTCTGCTCTTCCCTGCTCCTCTGAGGAGACTGGGCACTCTGCTCCAGATCCTCCGGTCCCAAAGCCAAGCTGACTTTAAAGTGATAGTCACTGTGGCTTCGGAGAGCAGAACTGTTTCCACCGAGTGCTGTACTGGTTGGTGTTTCACCTGCAGAGTCTCCTACATCCATACGGATGTACATACATGCACACTCCCTTTCTTGTCACAGAGATGCCTTCTTTCCTGAAGACGCCCATGGATCTCACTATCCGTACCGGTGCCATGGCCAGACTCGAATGTGCCGCAGAAGGACACCCTGCTCCTCAGATCTCCTGGCAGAAAGACGGGGGCACCGACTTTCCTGCTGCTCGAGAACGGCGCATGCACGTCATGCCCGAGGATGATGTCTTCTTCATTGCGAACGTGAAGATAGAAGACATGGGGGTCTATAGCTGCATGGCACAGAACATAGCCGGCGGCCTCTCTGCCAACGCCTCACTGACCGTGTTAGGTATGCACACTGCTCCACGGGTCCTTTGTCCTTTGGGATCCACCCTTCCTCTTCGTGGGCAGGAAGAGTCTGCATTTGAGACTAGGATATAGTGCAGTCAGAAGATTGTGATTCTTACATCTTTGTCAGCTTTCTCAGCTTAGGTTATCAGTGTAGGGAAATGCGAGGGCAGAATTAGAAGTCTTTGTCACATGAACGGAAAATGCAAATCCCTCTATCAGTGTATCCTCTTACCGTCTCCCTCTGGCCACTTTCTACCACCGACACGTGTGCTGCCTGCTCTGCGTGGAGTCTCAGCCTCGGCTCCTGCTGCGCAGCGAATCTGAGATGATTTAACTGGTTCCTCCCGTTTCCCTGTTTTTATTTCAAACTGTTATCCTTGGTTAGATTTCCTGTTTTCATTCTGGCGTGCTCCTCTTAAGCCCATGCTCACACAAGAATGTCTTTTCCCTGAAAATTTCCCCCAACTAGCTAATACTTCATGGAATTCAAATCTAAAGCACATTCTCCATTTCAGGGCTCTGCCTTTTCTTGCTTGTTTTGTTTAATTTTATAATCAGAAACATGTTTATTATTTAAAATTTTTAAGATATAGAGAAAACTAGAAATAAAGGAGGGCAAGTCATTGAGACACTGTTGAAGAACTTGGCTTAAAAAAAAATTCATCTCTGTGGATAATGTATTCCTGCTTTTATCCACTTGAAGTGCTCTGAGGGCTACTCATTAATAGAGTTTCGTAAAACACCATATGAATGTACTGTAGCTTACTTAATCATTTTCCTGTTAGATTTAAAAATTTTGGGGTTTATTTTTATAAAGGTTTTTATTACATTAATTGTAATTAAACCTTTTATTATAAAATTAATTTAATAGTAAGCATCTTTGTGTCTTCATCATTGAATTCTTTGCTTAGCATAGTTTTCCCAAGGTAGAATTATTGAGACAAGAATTAAGAGTTTTGAAACTTTTGCTTTTTTGAAACATTAATTTCTAAGCCCCCATAAGTATATGAAAGGGTTCTTATTAGATTTTGGGGGGGGAATAAAATTACCTCACTTGATTTTTTATATATATATATATATTTATTTATTTTAACTTCTTCCTGTTAGAGACACCCTCGTTTATTAGACCGCTGGAGGACAAGACGGTGACCCGCGGTGAGACTGCTGTGTTGCAGTGCATCGCTGGGGGGAGCCCTGCCCCTCGCCTCAACTGGACCAAAGATGATGGAGTCCTGCTCGTGACAGAACGGCACTTCTTTGCTGCAGCCAACCAGCTCCTCATCATCGTAGATACTGGGCTAGATGATGCTGGGAAGTACACTTGCATTATGTCTAATACCCTTGGGACGGAACGTGGTCACATTTACCTCAATGTCATTACATCCCCCAACTGTGACTCTGCCCAGAGCAGCATTGGGCACGAAGCGGGTGACTGGACTACGATCGGCATTGTCATCATTGTGGTGGTCTGCTGTGTTGTGGGAACCTCTCTAATCTGGGTGATCGTCATTTACCACATGAGAAGGAAAAATGAAGATTATAGTATCACAAACACAGGTGAGTGGTGACCAGATGCCATTTTGTCCCATCCTATAGCTAGATAAGCAGCATAGAATTTATTATAAAATGAAGCGCTTTGATACAGTACCTGCTACAAGGTAGAATGACTTGATAAAACCTCTCTGATGAATACTTCTGAGAATCTGTAAACCCTTCCAAGAAACCTTGCCCTTACAAACATATCATGGATTTTTTTAATGCGTAAAGCTCATTCCCATGATTATTTCCCCACAGGAAAGAGTGGAGCTGCCCTGTCTGAGATCAGTCTCTCTGTAATCCCAGGAGATGAGAGGCCCAGTCAGGTAGATCATGGAAATGCGACTAGGGATAAGGTTCCAGCCTTTAGGCTTTATTTCTCTTGGCAGTGGTTTTGAAAGGGAAACTTTTATTAGGAGAATTCTAGTGAGAATTGTAGGGGAAGTACTACGAGCTGTCAAGGTCCTTGCTAGATAGCAGGTTCCTGGCCAGTATTATCAAAGGGGACCATACTTGCAGAACAGTCTCTTGCCTAACTTTTGGGGAGAGTTACAAGTGTTTCTTTTACAGAGGAGCTTAATCTGCCTGCGGACATTCCCAGCTACTTGTCTTCCCAAGGAACACTGTCTGAGCCACAGGAAGGCTACAGCAACTCTGAGGCAGGCAGTCATCAGCAGCTTATGCCTCCGGCCAACGGATACGTCCACAAAGGTGCTGATGGTAAGAAGTCTTTGTGACGTGTAGTTATGCTGTCAGCCTGTGCTATTAGCCTATGCTATTGAGCTTGTTTTTCAGTGTATAGATCCATTAACTGGCAGTAATATTTGAAGTTAAGATACTCGGAGAGAGCATTGGACTCTATGCAAAACAGAATGAAAATGAACTGAGTCTTAACAGAGAGGAAAGTCACCTGACACAAAGGAGAAACAAAGTGTCCTTAGCCAAGGGGTGGGAGTATGAAGCAGAAGCTCCCAACCATGGTGGCGTTACAGGAAAGGGATGCTCCAGACGTTTCTCCACGTCTCAGCTTTTTAGACCCGTGCTTCCGTTTGCAGACCGTTTGTGTACCCTGTTGACAGCTAGCCTAAGTTTGGAGGGTACTGATGGTCTAGTGTATCCTGAAGAGTACCCATCCGAGCGATGGAGAGTGCGTCCCTGTTAAGTGAGCCTGAGCTCCCAGCCCTCTCCCCTTCCGCAGCGCGCACTCAGGCCTCCAGTGAAGGGTAAGGGACAGAGGACTTGAAGTTAAGCCTTACTTCCTTTTTTTCAGCTTTGTGACTGCAAATAACCAACTTGAGATCTGAGGTTTTGTTTCATTTCAAAAATAAGTAAATAATACTTAATAAAGTACTTTACCCAAGATTTTTTTTAATACATTCAATAGATCTGTGTATGGTATTTCAAGTACCATACTTGTGAAAGGTTTGTTCCATTTCTTTAGAGGTATTTCAGGTTGGGAAGGGGCATTTCTAGCTTTTAAAAGAAGAATTATGGGAGAAAGGGGGAACCGATAGCAATGATCGAAGTATTGCCCCCCCACCCCCACCCCTAGTGATGAACAACAAAGACATGGGTGAAGGGAGATATGGCTGCTGGTTCACGAGGGAGGGTGGGGGAGGGAGGAAAAGAGGAGCTCATGCCAAGGGCTCAAATAGAAAGAAAATGTTTTGAAAAGGATGATGGCAACATATGTACAAATGTGCTTGATACAGTGGATGCACAGATTGTTATAAGAGCAGTAAGAGCCCCCAATAAAGTGATTTAAAAAAAAGAATTACAAGTCTACAATTTTCAGAGCACATAGAAGTTAAAAAAAAGAAAAATAGAATTACAAGTCTCTACAATTTTCAGAGCACATAGAAGTTCAGGGAGATCACGGTTATACCTCTGCTTCTGCCAAACACATTTGTCAGGCAGGGCGCTTGTCTGTCAGCCTCTCCCGGGGCCCCTGCAGTGATGAGGGTGGCTTTACCTCTTGTCCTATGGCAGTTACGTGGGCCGTGGTGAAGTGACGTTGTCACAACTTGTTCTCTGCTTCCGTTTGCACAAGCCAGACATGTGGCCTGAGCCTTCTCCTGATGCCCTTGATTTGAACGTGGCCTTGTCCAGACATGCAGAGGTGGTTTAATGCCCTTTCTAAGAGCATGGCCTTGGAGCCAGTGTCTGGGTCCCCACTCCGGAGCTATGAGTATGAGCCAGGTACTTTCCTGTGCCGTAGGTGCCCATTTTGAACATGGGGATCGTAGTACCTGCCTCAGGTGTTGTGGGGATTTAAAGAATTTTAATACCGAGAATGGTCTTGCAACGTCACCAGGTTTATGAAGAATGCATGTTGGTGGTAGTCGTGGTGGTGATAATAGCATCTGTTGAAGGGCATCGACAGCAAGGCTAATTCCTCAAGGGAACAATGTTGGGGTTCTTTCTCACCTTGTCATTAGGTGGCGCTGGGTCCCGGGTGATCTGCTCAGATTGTTATGACAACGCCAACATCTACTCCAGGACCCGAGAATACTGCCCGTACGCTTATATTGCTGAGGAGGAGGTTCTGGATCAGACACTGTCTGGCCTCATGGTCCAGATGCCCAAAGAGACCTACTTGGCACACCCTCCGCAAGACGCCTCGAGCCTGGAGAGCCTGAGAGCACCGGCAGACAGAGAGCGGGCTGCCTTTCCCACCAACCACGAGAGGACAGGCGAGGTGATCCTGCCCGCCACACAGCTGGGCAGTGGTAAGGGGCAGGGCTTCTGCTTCTGGTTCTGCTTTGGCTTTCTTTGCCCCATTGACTTGCTCCATTATATAGGTAGCTTTCCGATGTGGCAGGAAGCAAGACAAGTATTAAGTAGAGCTCTCAAGCCTTCTTAGATAATAGACTTACAAAGGCGTCTTCATGTATAGGGTCAAAACTGCTTTAGAGGAGTTGGGGGCGGGGAGGCCAGAGGGGGCAGGAGGCAGTGGGATCACAGTACTGAAACTTCAGAGGCCACACAAAGAAAGCTTTAAAAGAAGTTTTATGTAGACGTTAGTGATTTTTCTCCCATTAAATTTAAATAATGAAGGTTTGTAATGTCAGTATAATTTGAGCTTACTTACTGTCAGCTGTCACCTTCTTATTGGCCTGAGATGGAAGAGCAGGGGTTAAAGGTGTTGGGTAAAAAGAGCTGACAGAGGGGTTCCAGTTTTTATTTTGTTTTGTTCTTTCTGGTTGTAGCTAAGAAGATGGCTTTTGATCTCATTGTCCTTGTTCAAGAATACTGCACATGTTTCTGTAATAATTGAGCCGAAACAAAAGTACATCTTAGAAAGTGAATTTTGAACTTTTGGTGGCCACTGATAATTCTTGTGTTTGATTCTCAGAAACATTGCAGCAGCCCTTGTGGACCGAAAGCCAGGAACTAAGCCTTCCTCCTCCTCCTCCTCTTCCTCTCTCCCAGCAGCCAATCCTCGAGTTGCCACAAGGCCTCCAAGATAGGGGCCAGGCTGAGAGTGACCCAGACTGCTCCCCTTCCTCGCTGCCCTGCCACAGGTTACACAACCACACTTTCAGCGGGAGTTGGACTCGGACCGTTCAAGGTGGGAGTGAAAGCCTATGAAACCCACTCCGCTCCAGATGGAATCTGGGCAGAAACGCAAGTCATTTAATTTTGGATTTACTACCTCAACATGCAGAAGAAACCCCACGGTTGGCATTTGCTTTTCTCTTTGTTTACCATCACATCTGATCACATCAAAATGGGCCAGGCTATTGCTTGGGGTTGTACCTGGTGAACGAAAAGGGTGCATCTCACTGAAAAGGTGCATCATTGCCAGAGGAAGAGAGGGGGTAAATGTGCTTCCAGAAAGTTCCACGGGATGTGTCCAGGAGTGCGTGACGTATTAGGACAAGTCTCATCGCTGCTTACCATGCTGGATTGTCTCACCCATCACCAGGACCCTGGGGGAAGCATCATTGTCCTGCTTTGTCGTCTAAGGGACAGAAAAGGCTGGAGCCCTCAGGAAGCATGCCTGGGGTTCTTCAGTGGCTTTAAGCTATGTATAATAGAGACTGGGGCTTTGATATTCAAGGTCTTCGGCAAGGATCCCAGACTTGCCCAGCTGGAATAAGGTCTTGGGATTTTATAGTCTTGTGATTCCTTTTTCTTTTTTTTTCCCTCTCTTACCCAGGGATCTCATTGTAAATATATTTGCTTTTATAAATAGTTTTTGTATCCATTGACCATATGTGTTGGCTGCAATGTACATATTTTTGATATGCCAAAAGATCTATCTATATATAATACCCAGTCATCTTGTTGACAGCAGCATCTCGTGATCATGGACAGATTTTGTATAAAGTTTCGAAAAGGTACTTGTTAAATGTACGTACAGAAGCAAGGTACCTAGTGATTGTGTACACACAAACAGTCTTGGTGTGGTGAACCACTTTTTTCATTTTTCCAGGTTCAGACATCTACTCACTTGCATCTGTGTGCAAAAGCCAGCTGGCTCCACCTTTCCAGTGTGATGAGGCTTGCTCGCTCTTTCTGACGACAGGCAGCTCAGGCACAGCCACGGCCACATGCCCACGGAGACAAACAAACATTTGAGGCAGTCTTTCAACAGAGTACTTAGTTGGCATGGAAACCAAAGATTGCTTGTTCTATGTGTTTGCTTGATTTTCATAGCTGTTTTTACCAAGACCTAACATATGAGGGATTGCAAAAAGTTCATGGAAACATTCCTTGATCTTTTTCTTGCATTTCCCCCCACGACTTTCTGAAGTCCTTTCGTATCTTAAATATCTTCAAGCAGGGAGGAGTTCTCTGGGGAGAAGGAAGTTGCAGGTGTGGAGACACATGTGGTAGGACGTCTGCAGACAAGGGATGATTGGAGCCGGCGTTTCCCTTTGCATTTCTGATAGGAAAATGCTTCATAGCAGCAAAGGGTGGGGCGAGCTGGAGTTCTTTCTGTGTGCCGGGAGATTGAGTCTGCGCTGGAAAGCTGGTCAGTCCCTGAAATGAAAGTGTCTTAAGTCTCTGTACATTTCAAGAGTTGCAGACTCATCCTTTCTCAGCACTCTGCCCGAAAGTTTACCTTTCTTTCATTCTGGTTTTCCGTCCTACAAGCCTTTCCCACGGGGAGCAGTCCTTCTGTAGCTGTTTATAGCTCTCTCCTTTTCCAAGGGCCAGCCGTCGTCATTTTTACTGTGAACTTCTTCAATAGCACTTTCAGATCTATGTTGCCCTAGGCCTTCAGCTTGCGATCTCCCTTCTTATTTACTGGGTTATAATTTGATTTGTCCTGGACTTTGGACTCGGGAGACCAGGCCCTTCAGTTCCTTCTCTGTTAACTTAGTAGCGGTGCGATCAAGAGCAAGTCCCTTTGTTTCTCTGTGCCTTGTTTTTCACTTTTACCAGGCACTCCAAAGGCCTCCCGCGCTGTAATGTTCTCTCTCGGCCTCTCTGGTCCCTCCAGGAACCAAGGAAGATTACGACACTTCTTGCTCTGACTTGAACCAAATGCTTTGAAACAGCATCAGCCAACATAAAGAACCACCTTGGCAGGTGCCTGTTGCTTTCTGGGACACACGTCTGAATAAAGCAGATCAGTTTGCCGGAATCTGCTGCGTGGAGTGACCTAGCTGCGTCGGTGCCACTAGCAGAGTCTTGAGGTTGGTGACTCCCTTTCCTTCTGAGAGGTTTCTGGGGCTATCCCTGTTGTTTTTGCACTCTGGTTGACATCGGGATGAAACAGGTAGCGGGTGAGCTAAGCTGGCAGAGAGAGTACCAGTGAGCACGGGCTGCCGCACAGGAGGAGGGAGGAGGCAGAGACAGGGCTGTGAAGCAGTGCCTCAGAAAGTGGATTGTGGGAGGAGTGCTCCCTCTGCGCCTTAGCAGCACTCCGTCCACTGCCCAGGGTGTCAGAGCCTGGGCTTTTCCAAGGGTCACATGGTTCTCCATCGGGCCAATCCAAATTGTTGAGACGTCCTCCCAGAAATTCCAGGTTTCTTCAGTAACTGGTCAGGGCTGTGTGAAAACGTGACGAGCCTATGTCTGGGCTTAAGATCAGTCTAACACAGTCTAATCTTAGAGTGAATTTCTGAAACTTCATTATTGCCTATGTTTTTGACCAAGCAGTGATGGAACCCCCTCCAGTATGAACAGGATTAGTGAGTGGCGCATGGCTACTTTTCCCTCACAATAGAAAAACATCTGTTTAATGTCAGCTTGACCAGGGATGCTGACGCTGCAAGACAAACTAAAAGAAAGAGCCCCTACCCCTCCCACCCGGTTCCCATGTCATTCCAAATGGGATACATACATTGTCTTAATTGTTTGTATCCCTCTTCGCTGAATGCTGCACATGAAATGGAAGATGAAATTGCATTTCCACTGAATTCTGGATTCCTTTGCACAAGGACCTCAGCTAAGCCATTGGCTTTCTGTCACTTGGCTGTCAAAGTGCTTTTCTCCAGTCTGCAAGTGTCCCTCAAAGAGGGACTCACTGAAGCTCACCTCGATGCCCAGCTGCTCCCAGAGTGCCCCCTCTGGATGCCTGGCATGCAGCTTTTCTGTACGCTGCCTTCACATTGCCTCGCCCCTTCCTCACACTCACTGCCATGAGTGATGCCACCTCAGCGACCCTCTAGGACAGGGTGGAAGTGCCCATGTGGCATTCTGAGACTGTCTCCTTTTACAGGAGTAGAAAGCCTCGTTTTTCTCCCGAGGAGTAGCTGGCGATTTTGCACTGCTGACCTTGTGAGTTGCAGCCCAACACGTAACCACTAGACCACCAGGGTTGCAAAAGGAACTTTAGGATGTCAAACAATCTGGACTAGGAAATGGGATTAGGAAAAAACACCTCCCCAAACCAAACCCAGCATTGTCCAGTCACTGCTGACTCTTCACAGATTAGTAAGGTGTTTCTGAGCCTGCCTCATCTTTTTCCCACAGAGTGGCTGGTGGTTTTGAACTGCTAACGTGGCAGTTAGCCCACAAACCACATAACTAGGATTAAATTCACCCTTCTATCCAGAGGACACAGCTATTATCAGTGGGGTTGACATTGCAGGGGGCATAGTATACCCTTTATAATAATCTCAGTATATGTTAATCATTCTGATAGTTTTGTCTGACAATTGGAATAACCTGCCTTGAAAGCTAATGAGCCTCCCATCATAGGAAAGGTACATAGGAAAGTACCTAAATAACCATTTGTTTCAGCAGTGAAGAAATGTCTGCTGGGTTTTTGTTTTGCTTTGGTTTTTGTTATATGGACAAAGTGACTTTTAAGGGAGGTCTCTTTCAACCCTCACTGGAACTTCTCCCCAAGTAACCTGGCAGTCTTGGAAAACTTTCGCCCTTCAAAGTCCTTCATGTTCAGGGTAGAATAGTTCAAGTTGGGGTTTTTTAACTAAAGATTTCTAGTCGTTGGTTGACAAAAGAGGCCTGGTGTCCTGTGTTAATGGCCGAACATAGGAAACTAGATTTATTCCTTCTGGGGAAATCTGTTAGCTGGTTTCTAATGCAAGTGACATTGTAAATAAAACATTTAAAGCCCACAATGTGTAAAAGCTCCCTTGACTAAATTTTGGATCGCTTTTTATTCTTGTTTTTATCAATGGAAAATGCTGGAGTGGACTTGAAATTGTGATGTTCAGTTTTAAATAAACTCACGTGTATTAGTGAGTGACCTTTTCAACTCTTAATGCCAGTGACGTGCTAGAATAGCAGAGGTAAATTTGCTACCATTTTATACTACATCTTCTCTCAATATTTTGGTATATGTACCAGAGTTTGTTTATCCATTCCTCCACAGACAGGGTTTCTGATGACTCCCATCTTCTTGCTATTATAGAAATTGCTGCTATAAACATGGGTGCGCATATATATATTCCTGTTTGGGTCTCCGTTTCTTTAGGGTGCATGCATACCAAGGAGAGAGAGGGCGGGGTCATAAGGTCTTTTAATTCACATTGGTTTCAGGAAGCATCAGACTGTTTTCTGCAGCAGGTGTAAAATTCAGCAATCCCACCCGCAATCTATGAGCGTGCTAGTTTCTCCACTTCCTCTGGCTTTTCCTATTTTCTGTTTTCAGGAGTTTTCCTAAGAGTGTTGGTGTGAGGTGGTGTGTCATCCTTGTTCTAATGTGTCTCTCTCATACAACTCTTGTCTAATTGCAAGCATTTCTTCATATGATTATTGACCGCCAGGATGTCACCTGTAGTAAACTGCCTGTGTATGTCTTGCGTCCATATTTTGATTGGGTTATTTGTGATGTTGTTATTAAAATGTAGTTTTCTATAGATTTTGAAATTAGCCCTTTATCTGAGGTATCATCACCAGACATTCCACCCCCTCCCATGCCACCCACCCCCGTGTGTGGGCTCTCTTTTTCTCTCTCTCAATGAGCCGTTTAGACATGGGACCATTGCCACTCCTGTTGGGTGCTGTCTCGATCGGGACTCCGGCACCCTTACCTGTGACTGCACACAAACCACTGCGGCCGTGCCCTCTCCCCCGCTGTTCTTCTGTCTGAGCCTGTATTCAACGATGAGAAACAGTGCCACCAGGTGAGCCAGGTTCTCCACAGCGCCCCCAGAGGATGAGGGTCCAGAGAGCCGAGTGACTCCCAGTCAGTCAGAGGGGGATGCTGCAGGGATGAACATTGCCCATTGGGGGCCAGGCAAGCTGTGCTGCTTCCACATGGTGCTTCCTCAGCCCTTTCCGGGTGCCTGCAGCCAGACTCAGTCTGCCCTTCCTGCCTCTGTTTCCATATATGTGTTCACTCGCCAACCGCTTGGTGCTCTCAGCTGGGCCGGTTTCCCGGTCCTCTTCCTGGCCTTTCACACCACCCATTGCTTCTCGTGCGCAGTCGCTTCTCCTGGAAGCGGTGCTCTTCCTGAGCCCCACTTGATAGTTTTGGATTGCTGTTCCCCTCCGTCCGAGGGTGGGACAGAGCGTCTGAGTGAATGAGGCCTGCTCTGTCATCTTCATGGTCTCCCTTCTCCTCGGAGTGAACTAGGGCGGGGGCAGGATGCTGCGGCCTGCCACGTCTTTAGTGGTAGAGTCCTGTTTTCTGTCTGCGCCCCAGGCCCAGACCGTCCTGGGAACCTGGGTAAGTGGAGCAGCTTCAATGGGCTTCTGTTGCCACCAGGACTCCAAGTCCTCATTCTCTCAGGGCTGCTGACGATGTCTCCTTTGAAATCCCCACTGATGACACCAAGAAAAGTCAGAGCAAACTGGAGCTGAGAAGCAGGCCCAGGCTCTTAACAAAACCCTGGGAAAGGGCGCCTCCAAGGCGGCAGGCACATGGGGGCTTGTGCGCGAGGACTGGCAAAACTGGGTCCCTTTCTTATTCTGCTTGTTTGTCTGCTTTCTTTCTTTTTTTCCCAATCCAGATATCATAACATTCCATAGTTGCAGCACCTCAAGCAGTATTGTTCAATCGCTACCACGATCAGTTTCAAAACATGTGCTCTCTTGATTTATTCTGCTTCTTGATGCAAGTAATGGAGGTAATTGTGAACCAGGTGGACTGTGAACAGTTGAGCCTGGACGTCATGCGTTCTTTCTCTGCCACATGGCCTCTGTCTTGGGGTGGCGGGTGCATTCCCTCCTACCGCTTCTCCCTTTGCACTCTCTTTGGCTGTTGTAGAATCGAAACCAACATCCGTTCGCCTCAAGTTTCTTTTATTTGGGGGTGACTTCTGCCTAGTTTGTTGATGAGAACAACAAATTCTGCCTGAAAGCCCATCAGCTCTCTAAAGGGCAGGCAAGGGCGTGGGTACTGAGAGAGAGAGAGAGAGAGAGAGAGAGAGAGAGTGTGTGTGTGTGTGTGTGTGTGTGTGTGTTGAGTATGTTTTGGACATGCTGCCTCAAGGTTTTGTGTTGAGTCTTTCTTAGCAGCCTTAATCATCTCCACCAAGAGAGAGCGGTGGGAAAGCAGTCTGCTTTGTGCCTGTGCGCACGTGAGGAGTGAAGAAGGGGTCTTTGACAAACAGTTGCCGGTCTCTAAAGAACCCTTGCCTGTCGTGTGGTGAAGTGCTCTTTTGGTAGCTCTTTGTGTGGTGCCTCTTGACCTGCAGGGAGACCTCATTCTGCCCTCTGCCCCCCCCTCCCCCCGTTGTCTGTTCTCTTCCTCCTGTCAGAAGGGTTCGTCTGAGCCTTCTTGGTATGTGATGTACGTAGAGAGATGGATAGGCCAAGCTGTTGTTGAGTGTGACCCTTTCCTAGTATCTATCAATATTTTCTCACCACAAGAATGTATGTTTTATAGAGCATGTGTTTGTCAACTTGTTTTTGTCTACTGTACAATGTCTCCAATAAAGCTGAGATACAAAATGACTTTTTCTGGTCTTGTCTTGCCCAGAGTGGGTGAATGACAGGTACGTTTTGAAGTTTGTGGTCCTGTCGGGGCCGGGAGTGGGCGTCCTGGTGCAGGGCCCGGCTGCTCTCCTGGTCGCTGTGCTTTGAGAGGTACATGCTGCCTGTGCCAGGACAGGGATGCAGCTCTCTGCTTCCTTCCATGTGGTGGCAGGCACGCATCAAATGCGGAAACAGACACACTCAATGGCTCATTATCACCTGCGCAGGGAAGACTCTGAAGGGAATACTTTATCATCTCAAAATCTGGTAAAACATTTTAAACATTGATTGATTGATTTATGCTATGCCTGCACTCATGGCACAACCCATGTGGCAAATTCAGTTAAACTAAGAAAGCAGTATTTAGAATAATCTATTTTTTCCCCAGTACTATTGCATAAATTTCTATGTCATTAGAATAGTCTTTCCCCCCCAGTACTACTAAATAAGTTTCTATGTAATAGAAGTCTAAGACAAGTATGCTTATCATTTATGGATTTTTAAAAAATCAACATTTTAAACAATACTTGAGCATTGTGACTTGAAAAGTATAAATAGCAATGTGTTGAATTTAGTTAAAGTTGGCAAGTTTCGGGTTTTAAACATTTCCAAATGAAGCTGAGCAGAGTCCACCCCCTAGACCACGGTCCTACAAAGTACCCTCTAACAAGCCTGACAATCGCCTCAATCCACCCATGACTCTGAGGCTTTTGAATTTGACAGCATGATTCTAGTTCTCAAAACAGGAAAATGGTTATATATGGAGAATTTAAAACAACAGTGGAACTAGCATCTCTAGAATATTGTTGATGTTGCTAAGAGTTTTTGTCTTCAGAAATTCTCCATACTCTTAAATGTAGAATCCCTGGTTCTTTCCAAGACCTATTGCAAGAGCAAGACCATTTCCCAGCTTCCTTATTCTACCTTTGGTTCCTCACTTCTCAAACGGTGAATGAAAATAAGAGAGGATTCCAATTCATAGCCATTCAATAGGACAGGGTAGAACTGCCCCATAGGTTTTCAAACTGGAATCTTTAAGGACCCTGTGTTAGTCCAGGTAGACTAGAGAAACAAGTTCTTATATGTGTATAAGAAAGAGCTTTATTGGGTGCATAAGCAAATGTGGCGAAGAAAGCTGATGATGCCCGGCTATCAAAGAATATATCGTCTTGAGTTCTTAAAGGCTTGAAGATAAACAAACGGCCATCTAGCTGAGAAGCAACAAAGCCCACATGGAAGAAGCACACCAGCCTGTGTGATCACGAGGTGTCAATAGGATCAGGTATCAGGCATCAAAAAACAAAAAATCTTAATTGTGAATGAGGGGGAGTACGGAGTGGAGACCCAAAGCCCATCTGTAGGCAACTGGACATCCCCTTACAGAAGGGTCGTGGGGAGGGGATGAACCAGTCAGCGTGCAGTATAGCACTGAGGAAACACAACTTTCTTCTAGTTCAGCGGTTCTCAACCTGTGGGTCTTGACCGATTTGGGGGTTGAATGACCCTTTCACAGGGGTCGCCTGATTCATAACAGTAGCAAAATTACAGTTATGAAGTAGCAATTGTGAAAATAATACTATGGTTGGGTGGTCACTACAACATGAGGAACTGTATTCAAGTGTTACGGCATTAGGCATTAGGTTGAGAACCACTGCTCTAGTTCTTTAATGCTTCCTCCCCCCACACTATCATGATCCCAATTGTACCTTACAAATCCGGCTAGACTAGAGTATGTACACTGGTACAGATCAGAGCTGGAAACACAGGGAATCCAGGACAGATGAACCCCTTAGGACCAAAAATGAGAGTGATACCAGGAAGGTAAGGGGAAGGTGGGGAAGAACGGGAGAACTGATCACAATGATCAACGTATAACCCCCTCCCGGGGGAAAGACAACAGAAAAGTGGGTGAAGGGATATATTGGACAGTGTCAGACATGAAAAAATAATAATTTATAAATTATCAAGGGTTCGGGAGGGACGGAGGGTGAAGAAGGGGAAAAATGAGCTGATAACCAAGAGCTCAAGTAGGAAGAAAATGTTTTGAGAATGATGATGGCAACAAATGTACAAATGTGCTTGACACAGTGGATTGTGATAAGAGTTGTACGAGCCCCCAATAAGTTGATTTATAAAAAAAAAAGAATAAGGAAGTTTTTATAAAGAGAAATTGTACATTATGAAGCAATCCCAGCCCAGTCCTGATCAAGTCCATAAGTCCAATATTAGCCCATATGTCTGATACCAGTCTATAAAATCATCTTCAGACTCATGCAACACATGCAATAATGCTGAATGCAGGAAGATCACAGGCCAGTGGGTGGAAACTTGTGGATCCAGTGGTGTTGTAAGCATCTCATCGCTGGCAGGGATCTCCATGTGGCTCCTCTGGCTCTAGAGGTCTGGCTGCCATCAGCCTGCCTCGATGTGGCTTGTCAACCAGGATGTCTTGCAGGGACTGAACGAGAGAGAGTCTCCAGTCTCCAAGGAGGAAATATAGGAGTTCCCAGAATTCTCAGGAGAAGGTCATGCCCACACAGAGACCTTATTGGCTATGTCCTAATTTGACAGTCTAGACTCCACCCCTACACTCATTTTAAAAAAAAATCACTTTATTGGGGGCTCGTACAACTCATCACAATCCATCCACCCATCCATTGTGTCAAGCCCATTTGTACATTTGTTGCCATCATTCTCAAAACATTTTCTTCCTACTTGAACCCTTGGTATCAGCTCCTCATTTTTGTCCCCTCCTTCCCTCCCAAACCCTTGATAATTTATAAATTGTTATTTTTTTCATGTATTACACTGTCCGACGTCTCTCTTCACCCACTTTTCTGTTGTCCGTCCCCCAGGAAGAGGGTTATATGTAGATCATTGTGATCAGTAACCCCTTCCTCCCCCACCTTCCCCTTCCCCTCCTGTTATCTCTACTCTCATTATTGACACTGAGGGTTTATCTGTCCTGGATTCCCTGTGTTTCCAGCTCTGATCTGTCCAGTGTATATCCTGTGGTCTAGCCATATTTTTAAGGTAGAATTGGGATCTTGATTGGGGGGTGGGGGAGGAGCATTAAAGAACTAGAGGAAAGTTGTATGTTTCATCAGTGCAATACTGCACCCTGACTGGCTTGTCTCCTCCCCGCAACCCTTCTGTAAGGGGATGTCCAGTTGCCTACAGATGGGCTTTGAGTCCCCACTCTGCACGCCTGCTGATTCACAATGATATGATTTTTGTTTTTTGATGCCTGCACTCCTACACGTTTAATCCTCAAGTTGACATTAGATTATATAACTACCACAGGTCCAGATTCCAAACTCAACTACCTTGGGGTCGATTCCAACCAGCAGCAACCTGGTAGGACAGAGTAGAACTGCCCTTTGGGTTCCCGAGACTGTCAATCTTTATGGGAGCAGAAAGCCTCATGTTTGGTAAACCTTCAGTAAGATATTTGGAAGCATGTCAGCATTCTGTTTAACTGAGGCACTGCATTCTTTCTGGGACCATTTGGTTGGGAACTTTCACTTTCTTTAAAGCTGAATTTATAATCTCACTACCATCACGTAGATTCCAATTTAGCAACCCTTTAGGAAAGGGTTGAACCGTCCCTGTGAGTTTCCAAGATTGTAACTCTTTCTGGGAGTAGAAAGTCTTGCCTTTCTTCTTTGGAGCAGCTGGTGGTTTCGAACTTCTGACCTTGAGGTTAGCAGCCCTAAACCACTAGAGGAGAAAAGAGACCCTAAATTAAAATATAATTTATGAAGCCAATTTACTGAATCTTAAACGGGACAAAGACAAGACAAAGGTAATTCACCTGGATGAGGGACACCATCCGCAGGAGGCCAGAATGGCATCTAAAGCTTTACAGAAATGTGGCCACATAAGTAGGACATGGAGCTCAAGGAAAACTCACAGAAGCAGGTTGGCAGCAGATCCATTCAGAAACAGTTCCAGGTGCGGCTATGGACTTGGGCCAGGGACCAGAAATGGGGTACAGATATACACCAGATAGAAGAACTAACAAGATTGGCACAGGGCCCTCTGACCAAGTCAGTCAGGATATGACTGGTGACTCTGCCCATCGTGGTACTCCAAATTCCATCAAGGGGACCCCCGGGCAAGTCCCTAAGGGCTAGGCTGCTGACCCTGGACTGACTAGAGGAGTGGTCATAATACACTTTCAAACTCACCTTTTCCAACTGCAGGTTAATGGTCAGAAAGAATTCAATGGAGATGGAATCTATGTGGAAACTCACAAAAAGAGAGGGCTCAGACTATTACCCAGTAGCTTCCTGCAAACCCAGTGCTCAGAATTTAAATTCTAAGATATGACGAGGCTACTTCCTCTACACAGGATCACATTTGAATTTCAACTTGTGCACGATGTAAATTGGGCAGACTTTCTGTAAATAGGGAAACTGGCTCAATGGATGATTGCTTACCCAATGTCAAAAAGGTTTCAGACAATAAAGCCAGGGTTTGAATACAGATTTTCTAATTCAGATTCCATTCAGAGCACAGTCTTACTGGGTATATATGTTGGGTTGCTAACTCAAGGTGAGGAGTTCGAAATCCACAGTTCTGTGGGAGAAAGATGAGACTTTCTACTTCTGTAAAGAGTTGGCAACTTATGTACAAATGTGCTTGACACGATGGATGAAAGAATGGATTGTGATAAGAGCTGTAAGAGCCCCCAATACCTTACAAATCCAGCTAGACCAGAGGATGTACAGTGGTACAGATAGGAACCGGAAACAGGGAATCCAGGGTGGATGATCCCTTCAGGACCAGTGATGAGTGGCCATACCAGAGGGTGGAGGGAAGGTGGGCTAGAAAGGGGGAACCGATTATAAGGATCTACATATAACCTCTTCCCTGGAGGATGGACAACAGAAAAGTGGGTGAAGGGAGACGTCAGATAATGTAAGACATGACAAAATAATAATAATTTATAAATGATCAAGAGTTCATGAGGGAGG